CTTGCCATGTCAGCAATGTGTATGCAGAATATGTAGTTACTGATTTTTAGATGCTTTTGTATTACTTTTTATTTGGTACCTCATAAATATGCTGTTGGGAATGTGGCTTTTGCTTTTAAAAAATGTTTTGTTTTTCAATTTTGCTTGTACTTATGGTTTCTGATACTCATATTTCATTTTATGTCCAAAATTGTGAAAGACATAATTGCATGAGACAAGAAAATTAGATCAAGCCAGCTAAACACATGATCAAAAGATGCCAAAAAAAATGAAGTTATGTTTGTAACAAAGATCACAATTGCAATCCTAAATAAAACTATTGATTGCAAAGACTGCAGTTCAGATGTGAGTTCATAAAGTGAAGTTTGAGTTGAATTATCTAATAAGGAATGTGAAGAATATCTGAGAGATATCAGCATTTAGACCTAAAAATCCAGCATGCTAACCAGAGAAAGTTCTCTGTGGCAAACCTTGTCTGTTATTTGCCAACAATGTGAATAATATATTATGACTAAAACTGTGATTTAAATAAACAGAAATCTGAGCTTGACCTTATTTCCTCTTTTCTGACCTGCATTTTAACTCTAATGTGAACCAGAATATGTCCTCCTCGTTTTTCAAGCAACTTTCCAACTAGAATACTTTGTACCACTGAGTTTTATTGGGATTACATAAAATGTGAATGGAAGCAGCTGGAAGTCTTACATTACATTACATTACCATAATCAGGGCATGTTTTATTTGTGAAGGCTTACAGTTATGTTGTTGTCCAAACAGCATTTGAGGCCGGCCATCCATCCATCCATCCATCCATCCATCCATCCATCCATTCATTCATTCATTCATTCATTCATTCATTCATTCATCCATCCATTCATTCATTTTCTGCCGCTTATCCGGGATCGGGTCGCGGGGGCATTTGAGGACACTGCCTCTCAAATTGTTAGTCAGTTTATATTAGTTTTTTCACAACAACATATATTTTTTGCCCCTCATTTAGTGAATAAAAACCGAACATGAGCTTCTCCTGCAGGCTTTTTTTATTGTGGGTTATTGGGAGGACGAATGTTTTGAGACGCCGCTTATTGATTTTATTTATTAATATTGGTGGTAGATGTCAGCAAACATTTTCACTGACAGAGCACACATAAAAACAGTAAATCATTTTTTTCAGTGAGACTGTACTTACAAATACCCACAGTTACCTCAGTGGTTTGTTTACTGACTCCATATGTTGTTGTTGTGATACAAAGTCTGTTCCATTTCCGTAGCCATGGATTATTCCTTCACTTGATGCAAAATGCCTGTTCATGTTCATAAACTTCACTGACCTTTCCCACATAGACTGTGGTTGAGGATGGTAGGAGAGCTTACTCCATCCTTTTCTGTGTTGCCATTAAGCAGCCACACATCCATTCAGTGTTTTTCCTTTAGCAGGTCTTTTTTGTCAATCAGTTTATAATAGGACACGCCATTGTCCGTATATGTTGGAGCTTTTCCATTTTAGAGGACTTTGCACAAAAGACTCTTTGCGTGTCAGGAATGTGTTATTTTACAAAAGGACAGATTATTTATATATATATATTGTGTGCTTTAAAGACTTTGATGATTACCAGGTTAAAAAATGTTTGCTGATGTCATGACGCTTCCACACTAACCCCATTTAGATGCATTGCTGTGACCCAACTGCTGTTAGAGGTAAAGCAGGAAAGTAAAAGGTGCTTTTGTTGCTAAAAGCTTAAGGCTTCTGACTTAAATTACCCATTAAAAGTTATAAATGTTTCTCCCTTATTTTCTACCTAGACAATAATCGTATTTATTGCAGCAACAGTCATGCCCTCTTCTTTTTGAGGTCAGTTGATGATTGTATTTATCTATGAATCATTCCTGAATGCATTTATATGTTAATGTCCATCTCTGTAACTCTGACACCTAATAAACTAAACAAAGACATGGCTTTGAACTACAGAGGACAAGGGGTGATCCGGTGTTGGGTTTATTCTTTTCAAGTCTGCGCCACAGCTGCAAAGCACCGAGAAAGTCCATGTCATGTGCAACAAAGAGGTGGTCATGCAATCAACTTAAACAAAGACTTTGTTCCCCGTGTCGCTGAAAGCAATATGAATGGACAACCTTGGTGGAGGCTTCGTTTTATTTGGAGCATTGTGACACTCTATGCCTGTGCAGCTGTAGCCTCAACATGATGCATTTATTTTTCGCAATGACTTGGGAGGAAGACCAAAATAATGAGGAGAGGAAGAAGAAATAGATGGGAGTAAATGTTGAACACTCATACAATTAAGGGCGGAGGGTGTAGCAAAAAAAGCCCTAAGGGGCAAAAGGCGGTGGGGCTTGTGCAAAAAGCTAGCTCAGCAGGAGGCTCATTATTCCACCAACGGGATCCACTTTGCACATCCAGCTTGTGCAAACTCACACAAAGGAGCGTAGCAGCATGCAGGCAGCAGAAAGTGAGAGTGAGGGTCTGCCTCTTGCTGCCTTTTTTTTTTAGAGGCTGTGGCACTTTTATGGCCATGCTAATAAAGTGCCTCTGGGATACGGTACCTCCCACACCTCCGCCTGTACGCATGCCAAGAACAGCTTGATTGGGCCTTAAGACTTGTGTTTATGGACACATGGATCAATACACTTCCTCAGGGTCTATATTTAAAACGGAAATGTGCAGTGTGCTCACAGATAGAAGTAGAGGATGGGGACACTGAAATGGCCATTGTGTGATTTAAAGCAAGGTCTATGACATCATTCTGATGGAATCCCACATCAGTTATACCCATCCACGTCGCCTCGCTTTCAAACTTGTCGTGCCAAGCGCTTGTTCATTTAAGGTGCAGTGGCTGATTATTCCAGCCACATCTTTCACCCTTGATTCCCTACGCCCTAGCTGGCGGCAAATGCAAATCTGGAGCGTGACAAATGATGTAAGGCCGCCTCTGACACGTTCCAGCCCTTGGCTTCCCCGTGTCGCTCCCCAGCTTACCTCCCTCAGCTCCACAGTAATTACCCTTGTTGGATCGCTACGCCTGATCATAGTTGATTTTGGGATGCACTGCCATTCTCTCCACTTGTTAGCCTCTCACACTGCCTGGTTCTGATAGAGCGCACTGATAATACGGAGGGAACGAGATGAGACACAAACACACATGCATGCATTCACACTTGACTGTAAGTGATTGTTGCAGTGGTGATTAATCCCTTTATTATCTAATCATGCAAGCAAAAGATTGGAGTAAAAAGATATAAAAAAAGAACAGCAGTGTTTAAAAGAGAACAATTAATAGATTCCAATTTTGTAAATTGTGCCTTGTGAAGGTCAAGGAGTGAGGAATAGGGTGCATAGAAGTGATTTCCAATTTGTTCTTAGTTTGCTCCAGTAATAAGATCCAGACCTTTTCTTCCAATGGATGAGATCATTAACTCATGGGGACAGACCACATAGAGCTCGGTCTTTTGGTTTATGGCACACATGGAGAGGCATCCCTGCTGCCAAGTCAAAGCACGATGTCACACAATTCAGACTTTCCTGATTTCTGTTTGAAATGAAGTGTACAAAATTGCAAGAACAGATATGAACTTAAATCAGTAAACTGATGTTTAACATATCTTGCTTTACAACCATGTTTATACCGATTGTTTCCATATTTTGTTACTTTACACCCACAAACCTCAAATCTATTTTTAAGATTGAACACAACATTGTGTAACATAATTGTTCAGTGAAATGAAAAAGATTAATCATTTTCAGAATGTTGTACAAGTAAAAATCTGAGAAATGCAGTGTGCATTTAAATTTCAGCTCCCCTGACTCGATGGTTTTTAGAACCGTCTTTTGCTGCAATTACAGCTAAGAGTCTTTTGGGGCATGTTTCTACCAGTTATCCCAGCCTAGGGCCTGAATTTTTATCTCATTCTTCTTTGCTGCTTTGATTACTCATTTTAAAGTCTTGCCACACATATTTAACGGGGTTTAGATGTGGACTTTGACTTGGCCAGTCTGAAACATGAAGATGCATTTGTCCAATTCATTCCATAAGTGGTTTGTCTCGATGCTGGCCTGCATAGGGGTGAACCATGTCTCAAATCTTTTGCAGGGCCTCACACTGGGGTGTGAAAATTCAGTTCTCCAGGGCCGAGGACCTGCAACTTTTAGATGTGCCTCTGCTTCAACAGCCAGTCAAATAATCAGGTCATTAGCAGGACTCTGTAGAACTTAACTGCATACTGAGAAGGTAATTTAGCCATTTTACTGGTGTGTTGGATTGAAGGCATTTAAAAGGTTTAGGAAACCCTGGCCTTCAGGGACTGGAGTTCAACGCGTCTTTTATTATTGCCCTGTATTTAACTCTGTCCAACACCCCAGCAACTCGCACCAGCTGACCTGAGCCTGCCTAAAAAACGCTTCCCTGCAGCTTGATGCTGACACCACTATATTTTACCATGGGGATTGTGTGTTGAGGGTGAAGCACAGTGATAATTTTCAGTCTTGCATAGTATTTTGCATGTGGGTCAAAAATGTTGCACGTTTAGCTTATCTCACCAGAGCACCTTTTTCTACATGCTTCTTGTGTCCCCTAAAAATAATCGGTTGTGGCAAACTTTAAATTGGACTTCTTTTACTTTCTTTCAAAAATGTTGCCACTTTCCCAGGTTTTCACTAATGTTCTCTATCAAACATTAGTGATGGAGAAGATTTGTGTTTTATAGAGAGCAGTTGTGTTTTATACCAATATTCAAACACAGAGAAATGGACTCCTTTTATTAATGGCAATTTCACTGGATTTTATTGGGAGACATGAGTAACAGGGACTGGCATCAAAAACATAAAATATGTAGAAAAAAAATGTAAGGGGTGTGAATACCTTTGTAAGTTACAAGACTATACAGAAATCACCACAACTTCATAGTCATCAAATTTTCGTTTTTTCACGGATGAATGGAGGCTTAACACTAAGAATTATAAAATGCTTATTAAGGAATCCAGGTTAGATGTAAGGTGGTGTTTGATGGTGATGTAAAATGCAGTGAGTCACTGCTGTGTCCAAGGTTCTCTGTGGGCTGCGTCTTTGTTCCACATTCTTGTTCTTAGAAACTGCTTGGCCAGTGTGCGACATCAGCATCGTCTGTGTGAGTCAGGTCAGGCTAATTTCCTGTGGTGTAACCTGCCTCTGCTTCCTGCATTGTCTTGCCCTATCCAGCAACTTGCTTGGAATGTGTACCATAATGATTTCCACATATTGTCTCTTTAAATGAGTGCCTCTTTTGCAACCCTTTGCCCTTCTGACGCAGAACATTTATACTTAACAAGTTTTTCCATCTGGTCATGAGTTTCTTTGTTTGGAATGCGACTCGGTGCTCAGATGTCTAACTTCTTCTTTTCTTGTTTTCTCTTTTCAGAAACATGTGAAGGTCCTTGTGAAAGTTCGACCCGCGAGTTGGTCTTCATCAACAAAAAGGCAACGATCACCCTCCTCTTCCTCTAAACCATTCTGTCTGCTCACTCAGCGGTTTTCTTGCAGGACAAGGAAACATGGATGGTCAAAAGGTCAAAGACAGAACTTTCATGCGCTGTCCCACGTTTGGAGCAGTTGCTACTCTTTTATTCTTCTGGCTTTTAGTGGTTCCTGCCTCAGATGGGCAGACCTTCAATAGTTTCCACCCAGAAAGACGAGATTGGATTTTTAATCACCTGACTGTTCACCAAGCCACTGGTGCATTATATGTTGGCGCAGTCAACCGTGTGTACAAGCTGTCAGGCAACCTCACCCTCCTTGTTTCCCATGATACAGGCCCAAAGGATGACAATAAGGCCTGCTACCCTCCTCTAATTGTACAGCCCTGTTCTGAGGCCCTGGTGCCCACCAACAATGTCAACAAGCTCCTCCTCATAGATTATTCGCAAAATCGGCTGCTGGCCTGTGGCAGCCTCTACCAAGGTGTGTGTAAACTCCTCAGATTGGATGACCTGTTTATCTTAGTGGAGCCTTCCCACAAGAAGGAGCACTACCTCTCCAGCGTCAATCAGACAGGGACCATGTATGGGGTGATTGTGCCGTCGCAGGGCCAGGATGCAACGCTTTTTATCGGCACAGCAGTGGATGGTAAACAGGACTATTTCCCCACTCTTTCCAGCCGAAAGTTGCCACGTGATCCGGAATCTTCTGCCATGCTTGACTACGAGTTGCATACTGATTTTGTGTCCTCTCTTATAAAGATACCATCAGATACACTAGCGCTTGTCTCACACTTTGACATCTACTACGTTTATGGCTTTGCGAGTGGCAGCTTTGTTTACTTCCTGACTGTTCAGCCAGAGACACCGGAGAACAGCATGTCGTCAAGCGGATCCAGCAGCGATCTCTTCTACACGTCCCGCATTGTTCGCCTCTGTAAGGATGACCGCAAATTTCACTCCTACGTCTCCCTGCCCATCGGCTGTGTGAAGAACGGCGTTGAGTATCGCCTGCTGCAGGCTGCTTACCTCGGCAAGCCGGGCCGCATTCTCGCCGCTTCGCTCAACTTAAGTGCCCAAGATGATGTGCTGTTCACCGTCTTCTCCAAGGGCCAGAAGCAGTTCCATCGACCACCAGATGACTCGGCGCTCTGCGTCTTCACCATCCGAGACATCAACGCGAGAATCAAGGAGCGCCTGCAGTCCTGCTATCAGGGAGAAGGAAACCTGGAGCTCAACTGGCTCCTTGGGAAGGACGTCCAGTGTACTAAAGCGGTGAGTTGCTCCAAATGAAAACACACATTTTACAAACAAAAATATGGAGATAAACGATAGTCCTGGGTGCATCTGTTAGCTGATCACGACCATGAAAGTCTCTACAGAAAAAGCCAAATTAGTTTATTTTGCTCTCTTAAATGAGACTGTTTGCTGAAATGGTCATTCAAATAGTACAAACCACAGACTTTACCGTATTTTATTGGCATTTTTTGGCTGTCCCATTTACTCTTCTACCCTAAATAAAAATTCCAGTGCCATTAGTTTCCTTCAGAAGTCGTCTAAATAGTAGAATCAGAGTGGGCCAGAAGGATCATGGTTATGGAGCAGCTGGAGAAATCATCAACTCAAGTGGGGAAATCTGTTGTCAAGACAACTGTTTGCAACTGTTGTGCGCTTTGCAAATCTGGCCTTTATGGAACAGTGAGAAGAAAGTGTATTAATACACATAGCCATAGGTAGTCATGTGTGCAGTTTTTTTTTTTTTTTTTTTTTTTGAGGAAAGTGCAAATAGAAGATGCCCTGGTCCAATGAGATGAAATTTAGCATGAAAGATAAATTGTTTGGCACAAAACTAACACTGGCCATATCTCCAGTACACCGTCTGCATGGCCAAACATGAGTGTGGAGGACTTTGTTCTTATTGGAAAGAAAACCTCTTAGTGGTAGCATGTGAGAGGTTTTCCTTCCAGCAGGAAATCAAGCCTAAACTTATTTCCGGAGCTGATATAAATTAATTGATTTTTAGAGTTGAACAGTCAAAATGTAATTAGTGTATGGAAAGGGTTAAAAGTTTGTATTTACTGATATCGGATCTGACTGAGCCAGAGCCGTGTTTCAAAGTAAAACATGTAAAACAGTCTCCAGATGTGCAAACGCACCCCATACTTTTCAGATTTTAATGATAAACAAAGGTGGAAAACCATTTATCCTATCATTTCAATTTCAACATAATGCACAACTTGAGCTGGTTTATCATAGTTAATCTCAGAGAAGTTTGTGAGAAATACGAGTACTTTCCTAATATAGTTCACTTAAAAAATGAGTGCTGTCAAACAACTGCTACATCTGCAGTGGTTTACTCCTCTGATAAAAGACAAGAAACTGTAAGAGAATGTATTAAGTTTCTCAGTGAGCCTAAACTGCACCGTGCTTTTAGGGGGGCGTTTGTTGTAATAAAAATAAACACAGCGATCATCCGGAAATGTTTCTGACTGCCTGGCATTTCATGCTCTCTATTATCAAATGACTCTAACACTACTTGTAATGATGTCAAATTGTTTTGTTGCTCTGATATCAGGGAACATCCACTTTCAAGTGCATTTCAGGGAGACATATTCATAAATTACGCAGGCTTTATTTTTCTTTACAAGCATCAAAGTGATTTTCTCTGAGCGCAGTCAAAATAAATGCTCTACTCCTCAATGGGGAGTGTGTGTGTGTGCGTATGCATGCATGTGTGTGTTTGGGGGAAGATTTAAGAGGGAGGGTGTCTAGGGGCTGCTCCAATTCGTCTACTTATGATGCTGGTGTAGATCACACACCAGTCCATTCTCTCTAAAGTTCCTAATTATCCCATAATAAAAAGGCTGTGTATCTGTTACATGTTGTCAAGTAGAATTAAGTTCCTTGATGCTCCTTTGGTCCCAGGAGGCTGCAGTCCTCTGTGCTTTCACTCCACTACCCACTAATAGGAACTTAAGATTATTAAGAATTAATGACTTCTGACTGACTGTGTTATGTTATATGCCTGAATTTGCACAGAATAGCTTGCCAGTCTTGGCCATTCACATGTGCATTGTGAGGTTTAATGATGTCTGTGTCGCTCATTGTGATGAAAACCACCGATTATCTCCTTTGTTTGCTAATCCCCTTTAGAGAACCCAGAGGATCATTCTCATTAAAATCCACAAATTCACCACCTCACAATGTCAGCTGCGAGGAGTAAGACATTATCTTAAGAAACTGGTGGTTGGGTTTTTATTAGCTCCACTGAGAAGGCAGAAAAGGATGTTGCATGCAGCAAAGTGGGTGTAAGGAGGTGTACAGTGGTGACAGTGCTGTGGCTGTGAGCCTTGTTATCCGCCAGAGCTTGAATTAGAGCGTTTTTCCACCTTCCCAGAAGAGTCCCCAATCATCCCAGTGTGCGCTGACTGTTGCCAGCTGTTACCTGCAAGGCCCGCTCCTCCCACTCCATTCTGCAGGCATGCACTGCCAGTGATGTTCTGCTGTCCTCTCGGATTAAAGGCTACATGGCCTCTGTGTGTGTTTTGCCAGAGAGACGAGAGAAATGTCAAACATGCTCCTTTAAACCGTGCTCTCATGCTCGATGAGCAGCCAATAAATCCATAGTGTATTATAGATTATGCAAAGAGATGTCGACGGACGAGGGAGTTTTAAATCATTGCAAGCTGCTTTCAGCAGCCAGATATGTCAGCCTGGCTGATGTTGAACAGAAATTCCTCTTTCACATATTTCCTCAAATGAATATGGAGCGTGGTGCCCCTGTTGCCCATTGATGAAGTTGTGTGAAAAGCCCTAAAATTAAATGCTTTTTGTTGCAGCACCATTATGTTCCTGGAAAAATGTAGAAAGGCTGACCCCTAATGTGAGCATGTTTTAGTGGAGAAAAAAAATTCAACTTAAGAAATAATTGATTTTTGTTAAAATTATTGGAGGCACAAATGTTAGTATAAAAAAAGCATTTGGGACAACACTCAGTTTTCCCCCATTAAAAATTCTAAAGTTTGGAGGTGCATACAGAGTGACCACTCCTCTTATTTGTTATTTATCGTGTGGAGTCCAGCGTTGGCTCTTTGGTTTTATGTGGTAGAAAGGACAGTGTCTGGTTTGGAAACATCAACATTTTATCTTAGTTCTTGAGGATAATGTGGTTTTGCTGCAAATCTCACACTAGATTTCTCAACCTCCTTTTTCAACATCTTTGCCAGGTGTGGTTTGCACTACATTATCAAATCTTTTAGTTGTATTATTAAAGTCAAGATGATTGCAATGCAGAAAATCCTCCTGATATAAAATAATTTTTGGCTAGACCCTCCATTTAAGGTCTAGGGCCCTCTTTGTGGTTTTGTTAACTGTGCCTCAAACAGTCAAATTGCACAGTGTTTCTGTGTGCCTTTCCTCTGTCTTGTTGCTAACAACAGGTAGCCAGTAAGCTCAAAGTGGACAACTTTAATTATACACCCAGCAGATATCTTCTTTGTACACGTTGCATTGCAAGCATGCTTATGCTCAGGCATGGCTGTCGCTGGGAATGGAGCTGTGGCTGAACCAGGGGGATTCACACACACAGCAGCCAATCAAAGATTTATCACCCATCCGTTCAGCTTTCTGCCATCTGGAGATTCATGCCATCTTTGTAGTCAATCCCATAGAGGAGACTCAAGATGGGATTTTTTTTGTATCCGTCTGTCTGAGTGTGTTTCTCCTCACTGACAAACACTATCATCTTGTCTTGCTTTTTGGTTTTGTGCTACCATCTAATTTGCCACTGGTGAAAGACGCTGATAGATGATGCTGATATACCCTGAGATTGGATTTGAAAGCAAGTATGCTGCTGGACTTTCTTACAATTCTTATAAAGGTTGATTTAGATTCCTCTAAAATGGACCTGTCGTAAACTTGGCCGAACTATAACCACATGCAAAATTTGTCACATCAATGCTATAGAGTGTTTCAATCAGGATTCATTCTACAACGTTAGTCTGTATTTAATCTAACCACAACTCCACTCAGGAAGCAAAGCTGTTCTTTTCTTTTTGGCAGGGAAAAGCCAATGAATAAATAAATATGTACATCTGCAAGATGGTGAACAACTACATTCAACCATATGGAGTCTGGAGGGATTTGGGATTTACTGCCGATTCTAAAGTGTACATCATCTGTACAATCTAGTGCTAATTGGAACCAAATGGTTTGGATCCCAACTGATCATATGCGGAGGAGCCGTTTGATTTTTGAAGGAATTGAAAGTCTGGATGCTAAACCTGTTCCTCAAGATGTCTTCCAAACTCATATTTTCTACAAGTACAGCTCCGACAATTAAAGAACAGTGAAAAAGTTTTATTTTTTCTCTTATTTTAGAGGTGAAACTCGTATATAGACTTGAAAGATTCTATATAAAAAACTTTATTTTAAAGTTTTAGAGCTTACGTTTATTTGGGCATGTATATATCTTATCTGTAATAACATTCTGATTCTCATATTGCTTTTAGATTATTTTTCTTCATAAACTGTAAAAAATAACCAAAAGGTGTTTTTTTTTTCTAGTTTCCCTGCAATGCACAGTCAAGAGGTATTTACACTAGAAGCAGAGGTAACATCACACTTTGTGTGCAAGAACACAATTGTGGTATAACAAAATTAAACTTTTAATTAAAATAAAAACCAAAATTGTAACAGAGTTGACATTTTAAGCAGTCTTTGTGATCTTACATTAGTAAGCCATCGTTGCTGGCTTTTGATAATTACAGGCTCTGTGGTTATCCCTAAGAAAATATAGACCATTAGAGGATTTCCAATCCGATCCTGTGGTCACCAAACAATTCCTCAGTTCATCTCTAATTTATTGGTCAATCTTTTTGCTATTTTAAGGTATCTGCAATGGTTGGGCAGTATAGTGAAACTGCATTGTCATCACCATAGCAGTGACCATAACATTGATGTTACGATGGACAGTTTGTAGTAGAGTATTTGTTTGGTCCAGTAGATTCTATCAACTGACACAGATGGTATAGCCCATAATACAAAATGTCAGAGATTGTTAGAGATATTGCAATGATTCCTTATTGACACCAAATGGAAATATAATATTGCAATCACATGCTTTGCTGAAATTGTGCAGCCATCGCCTACACCTGCTTGTCTCTGTACATGGATGTGTGCTGTTTGGAACTTGTGAAATATTTGAACTTGTATTCATACAATTTTTGGGCCGGTTGAGTCAAAGTGGACAGCAATATGCTGGTCTGTCCACTTTGTTTAGAGGAGAAGAAGAAAAGTACTGTGGATTTCATTGTCTGCTACATGCTTGGCATCCCCATTTGGAACTGGACTTTTATTTTTGCTGTCAGCCATGTGCACATCGTGTACAGATGATGAAATTTACATCACAGGATTTACGGTCGAGTGAGCAGTAAAGCAGACTGGGTATAAATTTGCCTTTGGAGAAAATAAATGAAAGGAAAACAATAAAGCAAGCTTTGTAACTACAATACTGGGGTTTTTGTTCACCATCAGCATTATGGCACTTGAAATTTTGTGTAGAAAGTGTTTGCAGAGGCTGATTTGCCTCCCATGAATGGAAATGCCACTCAAATTAGTCTGTATAAATTGTACTTCTCTGACGAGAACAAAGACGGCAACAGAGGATGCAGATGAGAGATGGATGCATTGACAGAAAGGGAACAAATGAGTTGGTGTAAGAGCACAGGGATGAATATTCAGAGGGTGTTATGGGATGTTTAAATGGTGGGGGGCTCAGTTGGATGTCTCACTTTACTCCACATGGCACATTGAGGTCACTGACACTCAAACTGCGTCAGCTGACCTGATTCAACACCAGAAACATCACTTCCTTATCTCTCATTTACCTCCCCATTCTTCATTGTTTTAGCACCACTGTTCTTGCAAATTCATCTAAAACGTAGAGGGAAGAGGTTGCATTTTGCCTCTATTACTCGGCATAGATAAATACGATCTGATTGCAATGATATTTTCCAAATAATTGACAAAAACAGAGTCTTATTTACAGTGATTATCATGCACAGTGGGCCTTCTTGCAGAGAAGTGATGGTAGGTCAGGGTAATGAGCCACATTCAGAGCAAGGTGGAGCTCAGTCAGGTGGAGCGGGTACATATTTCAGGCATAATAATAAGGCACACTTGTATATAATTCAAGCTCTCCGTTTTTCTTAAGCTTCTCTGTCACTCTTCACTTCTGTCCCAAAGTCAGTCTGACTCCGTTTCCACAGCTTTGCTTATCCATCACGCTTTACTCTCGTTTCAGCCCATTAGTTTTTGCTCATAGAAGGTTCATTTTTACAATACTTTGTGTTTCAGTTTTGCCTCCTTATGAATAATTTACAACAACTATCTTACTATTATATGCATCTCTGTTCACAAAATTAATTCTGAGAGTTCTGCTTAGAGTTTAACGATGGGTTCAATTCACATGGACATTAGAGATGCTCAGGTAAAATCTGATTTTAATTTTGTTGTGGGGAAAACAATTTTTTTTTGTCTTCACAAATAGTTTTTTCTAGAACCTGTAATCAGCATAGAAATTTCCAGTCTAGATTCTGACAAGTCAGTTTATTGCAATTTATGCTTTTCTAAATCAGTAATGCCAACAGAAGAAACTGCTCAGTTTTCTTCTCATATTTTCACAAAAGAACAACATATTTATGATCTCAAAATATGTTTTTAATTAGACATCCACATTTATTGTACTGTTGGTTGTCATCTGGAGGAAATTATAGGAATTTTAAATCATGGTACATATAAACTCCATTGATATTTACAAACCCCCAAATCTGATAATATGGTATAGTGTAACATGGGTGTTCCAGTTGGCTCCTGATTCTCATGGAGGACTAATGTTAAACAATGTACACATACTTCAATACATAAAGTAACTGGATAACATTGTCAGCTTGGATAAGAAATATTGAGGCGTTTCATTTAATGTGAAATTTCATGCCATTCAGTCTCTCTACATCCAAAGTTTTCACTGAAATCTTTGTCACTTTTTCAGATTCAGATTTTCATTTCATTTCACAATTAATTTTCTAACTGCTTTTCTTCTTGTTCGGCAGCCTGTGCCCATCGATGACTCCTTCTGCGGTCTGGACATCAACCAGCCGCTTGGCGGCTCTCAGCTGGTGACCGGCCACACGCTCTACACTGAGACTCGGGACCGCATGACCTCTGTGACCTCCTATGTCTACAATGGCTACTGTGTGGCTTTTGTGGGCACCAGGAGTGGACGTCTAAAGAAGGTAATTGCTGCGTCCTGTTCTCCCGAAATGGTTAACGCCTCTCGTGCGCGAGATTTCCACTCTCGTCATTATCATAATGCACAGGAATTCAACCTGTCAAGAGTTCTTGGTGTATCAACATCATGAGGCCCTTCTATTTCTGGGCATGCGGATCATAGTCAGAGGCAAAATTATCTTCTTAGTATTAAAAGCCTGCTGTCGAACTGTCAGGGAAGGGTGATACGAGTGGCTAACTCAGTGTAATGGTCATTATCAGCTCCTCCAGCACTGTGTTCCAGTGCTGAATAACCTGAGCTGACCTATTACTTTTAATGGGCCTCTTTCTGCTTCTAGCCAACTGAAAGCGCAAAAAAAAGAGCTGCTCCATATATTAAACCCCCTAGTTCTGGTTTTGAGAGAATACCAAAGCCACAAAGGTTAAAGGGTGCCCTGGCACTTTGCCGTGATATAATTTCCTTCCGTTGCTACAGGACTAAAATCACTGGATGCGCTCTGGCAAAAGGAAATGAGCTCTGTGTTCTGGGCTCAGAGATTACAAATTTGTCCGCTGGTCAGATTTGCTGGTGGTTTGTTGAGTAATTCAAGACAGCTGTTGGCATCCTTGTATATTCCATACAAACACAGTTTTAAGCTACAGATGCATCGGTTGTGCATGTCGATTGTCACAAGGCTTGGCAAATGTTCTCTAGAAACCAGAGTGGATTCATCAAGATTTCCTTTTTAAATCAGTGATCACACATAACTGGGTTGTAAGAACTACCTGGTTCTGCCAAGCATGGCATTATTTGGTGAGGAAATTTTTTACTGAGGGGAAAATAACTTAAAGTTACCAATTATTTGCGCAACAAAGCCATTTTCCACAGGAAAACTGTTTTCTACGTCTGTGAGAGAAAGTGAGACTTTCATTAGATGACAGAAGGGCTGAATGTATTGCAAAATTGTTCTGTTTTTTTTAAATATCCATCCATCCCCCCCCTCCCCCCCAATTCCCACATTGTTTATGTTGGGTAACTGGTGCCTATCTCCAGATTATTGAAGTACCTGTCCTGGGTACATACTAGACAGGTCACCAGGGCAACATAGACCCACACAGACATGCAATCATGCGTGCGCACACACACCTACAGCCTATTTAGAGAAACCAGCTAAACTAACAGACATGTTTTTGGACTGTCGAAGGAAACTGGAGTAGTGGGAGAAAACCCGTTCAAGCACAGGAAAAAAAGGCAAACTCCATGCACAAAGACCCCCGACAGGAATTTGAGCCCAGGAGCTTCTTGCTGCACGACAACAAAGTTACCATCTTCTCCACAGTGCAGCCAGTCAGTTATTTTGCTTCCAATTTAAATGTGTTGACAGATTACACTGTGGTGGTTGCATTGGGGCGGAAACAAGATCATTTGATGTAATCCACTGTTTGAGCCGTTTAAAGATCTATTGCCTCCCTTTTATTTAGCTAAATTAGAAAAGGCAGAAAAGATTGTTCAGATATTGTTTCATCTCTGTGTTTCCTTCCACGTTTTCGCCTGTGGCTGCCTTCCGCTTCCCCACTTTCCATCTCTGTATCATCTGCCCTGATCTCTGAAAACCCATGCTAAAAAAGACAAGCGAGCTGATGCTGCCGCTGCTGTGTATGTTCTCAAATTGCTTCTCACACAGCCGTGACTGTAGCCACAGTAACGGCAAGCTGAAGAAGGAATTAACCAGGATATGAGAGAAGTAGGTAAAAAAAAAAAAAAAAAAAAAGCGGCACAGTCCAATGCGCAGAGCACCATAATCCTGGTAGGACACATACAAAGAGTCACTAGATGAGAAAATGAGAAAAGTTTAGACTGTGATCATCTTTAATGTTCCCAAACAAAGATTTCATTACAATGCTTGTAGTACAAAATGTGATTTTTTTTCTTTCTAAGCCGTACACAGGAGAGTGCTAAATTGTTAGGAAATTGAACTGCACTTCGCTTAAACTGAGATTCAAAGACTTGTTCTTCCCATTCTCTGAATCTAAGTTGCTTTTAGATTTGACTAGAAAAGCAACTGCACCTGCCTCATTTGCATGCAGGTAGAATCTTGGTCAAGGTGAAGCCATTATTTGCATGGAAGCTTGTGCTTTGACCAGATCTGACTGTACACCTCAATGTGCATGGAAAAAAAGGATGACCATAACCAGCCTTCCTCTGTGTGGTTTTATGTGGCAGGGTGAAAAAATAAAGGTTTACTTTTTAAATACAAGAGTGCACCAGCCAGATACTAATTCCTGGTTTTCTTTGAGATTTGACCGGCTGATTCCAAATTTGACTGAATTCTTCTTTTTGTTTTAAACAATGTAACACAACAAAGGAAAAATGTGCTGCAAGTACTTGGATAAAGGCACTAGCTTTGTAACCAACAGAAACTGAAGGACTTGCATAACTATCCCCCACTTGTGCATTGTTAAATTACAAACCTCTGTGCATCAGACTACTTGCAGTTGGTTGATGCATTTAATGAATAAGGAAAAAATCATTGTTTTTTTTTTTTTTTTTAATTTTCACATTACCAATCAGAGCAAATCAATAAAAAAAAACAGATTTCCATATCTGGTCAATGGATTGGTGCATCTCTGTTTGAATAGTTATATAAAAATCAAGAACTCTGCATAACAGCAGAGTGTGCCTTTGTGCCCGAAGTGGGTTTTTTTTTTATGCTTTGAGGATTATCCGTTCACTCCCTTTGTCTCCAGAGGCAGGGCTGATGTATGTGGTGATCTTTGGCTGCAGCCTCTTTGCAGAAGGATGATGCAGAGCATTGTGAGAGACGCAGATGAAGTAGGATGCTTCAGGCTTCCTGCTGATCTGAGCATGACACAGCTTGGGTGGCAAGCTTTGATGCTTTGCTGGTGACACAATCCTATACATGCTTTCATGCAACCAAGAAAGTCATGCAGCTGGGGAAAAGGAGGAGTGTGACAGGAGTGTGATCTAAAATATATACATATATATATATATATATATATGATGTGTGTATGTATAGAAATGAGTAGCAGAAAGAAGCAGAGATGGAGAAAGGAAGAAGGCATTGGGGGAGGGAAAGCGAAGGAGACCACTGAAATGTGAATTTAGTGCCGCCAGAGAAACTAGGATTGCACCGCTTCTTGTAATTGGATTGGCTCCCATCCCAAAGTTGCCCTCTCCCCATCCTTCCATTTATTGCTTCCCCATTCAATCCCACTCCTCCTTCCCGCCCTCAAACTCGCTCTCCCTGAAGACCGACTCTCGCATATTCTGCTGTTTTCCTGAGCTTTGCTGAAGCATGGTGAGGCATGAGGGATGGTGTTGGCGGATAGCGCTGTCTGTGACAGGTTTTTGGGGGGGTGATGATGAAGGGTTAAGGGGGGGTAGAAGCAGAAACTAAGGTGAGGAGAATATGTGTGCAGTTGCATTGACGACAGGAAACACTAATACCAAATTCTGGGCAGCAACACTGGCAATCTGAGGTCATGTGTGGAGGCCATAAGGTGATTGTATTCCATTGTCTGACAAAAGCTGCCTAGTTTTGGTAATCATGTCTAAAACCCAGCATAGAACAAAAACACAGTCATACTGCAGGCATTTGATAGCTGGTATTTAACATAACTGGACATTTTGGTTGGGATTGGCTTTCAGTCGAGACCAGAAGATCCCCTTGCAACAAAAACATAGATTGTCTGTAATGAATGAAACATAGCGTATGTAGATTTTGTTAACTCTTTAAATGCACCTTTATTTGTATCGGTTTCTTATTGGCTTCCTCAGTTCTGAGTTGTGGGGATTGAAGTGTTGTTGGGTCTTCACCATTTTGCAAGTTGCTAAGGTCACATGTGGGTCAGTGACCCACCCACGTGCCAGTCCTTAGGGTTGTTTTGGTTGTTATCACCCCTGAGTTGTTTACCAACCCGACCAGCATGGAGGATGTTGTGGTCCCATGTTTCAAAGTGTGAAAGGTTGTGAAACTGCCTGGGGAGGAGAGTCAAGGCTGTCTTGTAGGTGTTGGATGGCTCATACCACAGTCTCCACTGTTTAGTGTTGAGTTTTAGAGTTTAACATCAATGGCTTTTTACACCATTTACCAAAACTTATGTCTTAGATGGGTGACTAAAGCTTCCTTTACTCTGTCCTAAAGTAGCAACACTACATTAAAAATCTGCCAGACAGTGGATGGATGTAGCTGGGTATTGGAGGGACCTTCACAGTATATTTGTAAAGAGAAGCATGTTACCATATCTAGTGATGAAGAGGAAGATGAAACATTAGCAACAGCTAGTAGGTTTCATAACATTGATATAAAATTGTCCCGTCTAGTCGTAAAAACACTCATTCAGGCTTTTGAGAATTTGTTCATCAGGTCTGAGTGATCACTTCAAACGACTTGGTTTGTATTTTGTGTGCCTAATTCTTTCTGCATTTGCCAATGTATGAAAATGGAAGACTACACCAAGGTAAACATACTGCAAAAATGAGCATACTCTGGTGTGTAGTCCTCTGTACAGACACTCTTCCATTGTGTGGTGTCATGTTGGTGTTTCTACCTCCACATAAGCTGTACCTCATGGAGAAAATGAGAAAAATCTTTCATATTTATTAGGAAATTCAGCAGGTTGTTCAGAAACATTGTAAAGAAGATGTAATACATGTTGCATGATCACTTTGACAGAATTAACAAGTTAAGTGCAGCCATGTTTGCATTAGCATTAAAATTAGGTTTTCCAAAGTCCTGTGATCCAGTGATGTTTGAAGCCATCTTGGAGTTCCAGGAAAACATGGAGATGTTTTAATCTAGTTTAGATGTGGCCTAAGCAGGCACATTCCCACACAGCAGTCTTTCCTGACTAGTACGTTCCTTATTTTCTATTGTTTTTTATTTTATTTTTTGAACGCAATGAGTTTTAAGGTTTGACTACACAATATAATATTGACGAGGAATTTACGCATAAATGTGCATCTTTAGCTCTCATTCTATCAACTTTTTTATGTGTATTTTGA